GTATTATTGAATTTCACTTAACCTTGCTTCCCGAAAGGCTTTTTCATTCGTGCTGCACTGTAGTTTCGACCTCGCCTAGGTCTCATCAGCAGTTCCAGAGGGATTCGATATCGGGTCGTCATTATCGTGGCAATTATACCACTAAATTTCACTGCACGGTCATGGGTGCCCATGGGCAACAAAGCAGAGGTGACATTCAAGACAATCCAGGCTCTTTTTGTTGCCAATTAGGCAAGCGGGTGTTTGCTATTTTAATCGATGAATTGCCTATTTTTACTGTAAGTATTTCCCGAGACTATCCGTAATAAGGACAGAAGCTCTCGGAAACTTTTCACATAAAAAATAGCTAACGCCTTCGATTTCAAAGGTAAACACATTCGCTTGATCGACAATACCGCAACGTGAGCTGTGTTCATCCTATTTCGTTTAAGGTGATTAAAAATTGGTAGTTGAATTTTCCCACAGTGATATGAGTAGACATGACGTTCCCATTGAATTTCGCATAGCCTCTCTTTCCCCAAAGGTATGCTCGCCTAGGAGGGACGACAATTTCAACCTCGCCTGGGTCTTATCAATGGCCCAGCGGGACTCGAACCGTGATAAGGTTACGTATAATCTCAACACGTCAACCACTGCGTCACGATTGCTCTTGGGTCACAGGGCAAATGTCAATTTCAAAGAAGACCATTCATTTTTCCATCTCACATTCTGTATTGGGATTGTCGATGAAGCAAACTTACATTTGCCATAGCAATCGAAGACTACTTATTTTTCGTTTCCACCAGGTTTTCGGGATTACCAGCAAATTTGATATATGCGTTGTGTTCACCCTATTTCGTTTAATGTGGTGAATGATTGGTAGTTGAATGAAATAAATATTAAGTTCACGGCGGATATAGAGGAGAATATGTCTTTTTTATATGTCCTGTTTATCAGGGAAGATCGTAAGCTGGCAAGAAGTTTCTATGGGGAACCAGCATATATTGCTTATTTTCTGATTTTTTTCTAACTATAGTTACAAATCTAAGGCTAGAATTTTAAAGTCTATTTATTAAAAGCATGAGGCTTACGGATAGAAATCACCTGACTGAAATTTAAGAAGACCAAAACTGTTATTCCTGGAAAATAATGATCCTCTTTGTCTAATTGATGATAATATCTTTTTTTTGAGGAATAAATCTTCAAACGGTGATTATTTGTTCAGAGATAGGCAAACCAGGACCCTTTCTCACCTACCTTTGTCTTCGTATGCTCTTTCCACTCTTGAGTGAGTGGAGGAATAAAAACGGTTTTCGGAGAAGCCCTGACACGATTCGTTTATGACTCCTTTTTGAGATAAATATGATCCATGACTTACATGATTATGTTCTTCTGTGGTCGACCTTATTTTGGTGAGATGTGTCTGCTAATTCACTAAATATTGGCAGAACACTAAAATACTCGTGAAGGCAGTTGGGTCTAACGGCCAGAAGTGGCTGGACACTGGACACAAGATAGATTGGTGTAAAATGTATAGGTTTGCTGAATTTGGTACATCTTCTGTTAAAAGGAAGCTAAGAGGGGCTATTTAAGTGGATAGATTAGGGAATACGTTAAATGTAAGGAAAGGTTGTAGAAAGTTGAGTAAGAACTACTCATGCTTGATTGATAAATTGGAGTTGAGAGAGAGAGGGTATTGAGCCACCGTCCAAAAGAAGGCGACTCAACTTGTCAACTCTATCAAGGTACTTACCAAACTCGCAATTGTTAAACATGTTTATTTGTCCTATCAACAATATCTGATATACGAGATTACACAATCCTAGTCAGAACTCACCTTAGGTCAATGAACCTTAATGTTCATTGACCTACACGTTATCACTGCTGGTTTCGTAACCTGATACACATAAGCTTACATTTCATTATTTAAACCAGAGTTGCTTACGAACTTGATCTCACCAGAAGACGACGACTGAATCGTGTTGTACTGTAGCCGTTTTGCTTTAATACGACGTTCAGATTGATGCAGTCAACGAGACCTCCCTCGCTTCGGGTGCAAGCGGGCTAAGCTTCCGTCTATTACATAATGGACAACATCATAGCTGGAACTCATTCTTGTGAGTCTTACGTTAACACTAGGTCAAGAAAACTATCCGACTCTATCTTACTTTTTATATACACTAAACTAAAAACTAAAATGGATAGGTATATATATATATATATATATATATGAGGTAGGATAGAACCATACAGTCTTCTTGACCTAGTGTGAACTTGAGGCTTTTGCAAGAATGAGTTCTAGTTCTGATAAATTCCATAATATGACATACGAAAGCCTAGTCCGCATTCACCTGCAACAAGCAAAGGTTTCTTGTAGACTATGTCAACCTGAATGTCTTATTAAAGCCAAACAACTGCAGAACAACGGAAATTGGCTGTCATCTGACGAGATCAACTAGCAAACCTAATAATTAATTTTCATATAAAATGAAAGTCACGACATTACTATATATTGATTAAACGGATTCCTAAACTATTAATTATAAAACAATTATTTAGACATTTATATGAATTCAAGAAACCTTAGGTTTATTAGTGTTGCTAGTAGTTGTGTTTCCCAAAATGAAATGAGTTAAGGGACTGCTATTTAGTGTTGGTTTAATCTCGTTTTCGCAAATTGCTTGAGGAGTCAGCGAGAACTTGTTAAATGCACCCAGTCCTGCTTCTTCTGTCATGTTATTCGTGAGTTTCAGCATCGGAACATTGACTTGGTACACTCACAGACATTTCGCTAACATCATTAGTGAGAGACACTATCGTTAGTATATAGTTATTACAAGTGATCAATTTTCTATTTAACCGAGAACAAAGAATAGTGTTGATAGGTAAATGGGCGATATGAAGTTAAGTTGAAAGAAAGAGATACAGCAATAAAAGGCAAAACAATAAAAATAGGGACAATGAGTGATGCCACAAAGGCTAAACCAAAATTTTGATAAGTTGTCACTGTGCTAATGATGGTGACTCTCACTCAAGATGCCGGTGAAACATCTGGGAATGTACAAAGTCAATGGTCCTATACTGGAAATCACAAATAAACTGGCAGATGATGCAGGGCTAGGTACATTACACATGCTATCCTTGACGCTCCGACAAAATTGAGAAAACGAGATCAAGCCGACACTATAAAGCTAAAGGAGACTGCGACCAAACAGGTCACACCATCTTGGTCTTCATATCCATGACCTCAATTTAGTTCGTATTTACAGATAGCATATGTAATCTATTTGAAATATGGGCTTACTTTGTTTTTCAGTCATTCCAAACTTTGATCGACATTCTCCTTTAGCTTGGCAACTTCCACAATTCGAACTTGGTCCCTTATCCAAATTATTATTTTCTTTATATTATCTATTTTATCCAATGCATTTCTATTTGCTATTTGCTCTATTTGCATTTTCCTTTGTTTTTTCTTCCTCTTCCATGTGCAGATCCAAGAAAATGGCAGAAATTAATTTCCTTTGTGTACATAAGCGTCTCCGATCAAAACGAATGGCGCCCGTCCTTATCCGCGAAATAACTCGTCGCGTCAACCTGACCGGTCGATTTCAGGCCGTTTATACTAGTGGTACTCTTCTGCCTAAACCTGTTGCTTCTTGCCGGTATGTGATCAATGAACAGTCATTCTTTACTTGCATTTCCTCGCACAATTTCATGTGCCAATTAATTTTGGCTGAATAGTAGCTTTATGAATCTTAAATATTCTTAGATATTAAGACCAAGATAGTGTGTCGATTTAAAGAAGTGGATTGATCTCCTTTTCGCAACTTGGTTTTGTTGCCAGGGCGACTTATTTGAACGTACCTTGTCCGAAGTCCTCTGCCATGGTCTGACATGAAAATGTACCAAGTCTTCGGTCTGATGCCTGAGAATATACCAAGTCTACGATCTGATGCTGGGAATTATGAGAACTACTATGGCAGATGACTTCGGAAAAGGTGCATTCAACTAAGTCGCTTTGACAACAAGATCTAGTTGCGAAAGCAAGTTCAACTCATTTTTAATAATCAGAGAATAACCTGCACTGCTCTAAACGATGCTTCCTTTGTGGCTTAAAAATGCTGTATTATCTGCCTAATTGGATTTAAGATTCCATGCGCTAATTCTAGGAATAGTTGGTTGGAGAGAATATATAGCGAATAATTTACTTATCTTTAGAGGTTGTTTGACCTTGTTTTCGCAACTTGCTCATATTGGTAGGAAGACCTAAAGGAACACACCTAGTCCGGAGTCCATTGTATGCATGATCATTTCCAAAGTCGGACCGTGGAGGTGGTACATTCTCAGACGTTTCGCCGGCATAGTCAGTGAGTCTCGCCATTCTTAGCACCACACAACAACTCGTAAAAAAGACAAGTGAAGCCGAACCTTTGACTAAACATGTGCTAACCAGTTGTGATATCTCCCCTTCTGCACCGGGCTATTCACATTTCCAATATCCTTTTATCACACCTTTATTGTTACAATTTTTACCGTGCTTATTTCGATGTAGTGTGGTGTGCTCTTTTGAGCAGCATTCATGAAAACCCTTCATACTCCACGCTGTCGTTCTCATCTCCTTCACCCTTGTGCTGAGAATGTTTATCAGAGTCTACCATATTATTATGCAGTCCTCCTTCCCTAGGTCTTTTCACAGTCTTTCTCTTGGCTAACAATGGCGAGACTCACTGACGATGCAGGGGAAACGTCCGGGAATTTACCACGTCCACGATCCGAATTTGGAAATGATCATGCATACAATGGACTCCGGACTAAGTGCGTTCCTCTAAGTCTTCCTACCAATTTGAACAAGTTGCGAAAACAAGGTCAAACAACCTCTATACAACGAAAGGAAACTGTGACCACCCAAAAGGCCACACCATCTTTGTCTTCATACCTTACTTATATTTAATCGAAGATATGAAGACCAAGATGGTGTGGCCTTTTGTGTGGTCGCAGTCTCCTTTCGTTG